AACTACAAGAATTATTGAATTTATACACTAAAGCCCCCACAGGTTGGCAGCTGTTGCAGCCCAAACTTTTTTTTTTTTTTTTTTTGCCAAAGGCTTTTCAACTCCACAATTTTTTTTTCTCCTTTCACATTATTCTATTATTTTCGACTACGAGACATCAAACACCAACTTTCAACATCAAGTCACCAAACATAGTCAACATTAATCAAGATAATCACAAGAACATCTCAACGACACAATTCGAGTCAAAATCAACTCACCATAAATAAATCACAAAAATATCAACTCTCATGCTCTTGATCCCAAAGCAACAACACCTTAAGATATTTAACCAAATATAATCAACTCAAGCCATTTAAACTAGCACCAAATAATCAAACAGACTTTCATATCATCATCGCAAAATTCCACATACAAATAAGCTCATACTAGTCAAGAAAAACATGCTAGGACATCAACTCAACAACTCAAGCTCATAGACATCTCAAACTAACGGGCCTCCCCAAGCTTAGAGTTTGCATAAATAAGAAAGCAAAATAGGAGATAAAAAGAAAGAGTTCACCTTAAAAAAGAGTGGAAGTCACGTCGCACACCATTGAGTTGCCTCCCAACAAGCGCCCCTTTTTATTGTCGTTGGCTCGACTTATTACTCCGCTTTCTTCAAGCGGTCCATGGTGGCTTCATAGGTGGCCTCAAAGGAGGCACAAATCTTGCAGCGCCATGCATGTGAAGCCTCCCCTCATCCGGTGTCGGGTGCTTGACCGGATCTTTTCTTGTCGGTGGTAGATCGTCATGGCAAAAGATTAGCCCGGGATCATGGATAGGAGGAAAAATTTCTACCACCTCTAGGATGTAAGGTTCCTGGTTTTCAGTGTGCTCGGTTGCTGGTCGCTTGATCTCGAACAGAAGAGATTGATTTTTAGTCATGCTCGGGGTAATTGATGGAGCTTTTACGCATTTTCACTTTCGGGCGGGCTGTTATCGGGGAACCCCGATAGCAGTAGACAATGCTGCTAGGTTTTTATCGGGGGGGCCTATAGCAGCGAAAATTTGCTCCGTCTCGCCTTCTTCTTCATTCTCTTCGTCACTCGAATCATCAATCGACCCAGAAACATGATTTTCCAGCACCTCGGGCTCCACCTCGCTGTTCAGCTCAAGGTCTTCGACATCACTTTGGCTCGGTTCGGCTTGAGATGATAGCCGACTCTTGGCTCGGGCATCCAATTCGCTCAATACATTATCAAGCTTCTTGCCACATGCCATCAAAGATTTTTGACACTCCTCAAATAACTAAACCATTGATGGGCTATCCTCTTGTCCAAGCGAAGGTTCTGAATGTGAGCCTCCATAGTGGAATTGAGAGTCATCGTGCTCATAAGTAGGCTCATACTATCGATAATATTGTGAATTTTCATTAAATGAATTTCCACGATCTCCCCAACCGTAATGGTCCCTATCGAAATTTGAATACGCCCCATCGTCTTGACGCTTTTTCTTTAAATTGCTAATGAATTGCCGACCCTAGCTAACAACAAGCTCTGTTAACCGAATTTTCCCTTACTGAATATTTAATTGAAATAGGCTCTTCGACTAAACCTAACTAGTGGACAACCTAGAATAAGCTCTCTAGATTTAATACACTAGCAGCATTCTCTAGGAAAATAGATCAGTCTAAGCAATGGACGCGTAAGCTCGGACCATTTAACTTATGCTCATGTTACCCTAAGGATGCACGACCTCTAGTTTACTACTAACGAAACGAGAACAATAACAATTACGGATTAAAGACTCGAATCTAGCAATTAAACATGGATATTCAACGTAGCTGGCCAAACTAAATCAAACTCCATAATTCGTAAACACTAAACACAGATAACATGAATCAACTCATCAACAAAAATAAATACGACGTCTCAATTAACCAACGAAAGAAATAGATCATCCAGTTCATGGACAAATCGAAGTTAGGGTTCAAACATCCCCTCAAACTGGATAAAAATCTTATTTTAACATACAAATAAAAATAAATAAAAGATAAAAGAGAGAATAGAATTATCCTCTCATGTGCGGTGCGGTTTCCCTCCGTGTGTGATTTCTCTTCTCCTGTGCGTGAATTATTTTCTGTGCGGCTTTTTTTTTCCCCTATGCTCATGTTAAAAAAACCCAACTCATATGATATTTGTTGCTTCCTCTGAAAATAATTCGTAAGACTCCCAAAGATGTGTGAGTCCTTTTTTTATTCTCCAATGAAATAATTCTTCCCAGCCTGCTTAATTGTGTGAGTGCTTATGTTGCCAAATAATAATCATCCAAGTCTCCAACAAATTCTTCTCGCGTGGCGACTTCCAGACAATAATTCCACCATAGCCTTTAATTGGGCTTAATTTTGTAAACTTCTTCTAAGCATGTGTTTGGACTGTAAATAATCTGGTGTTTGGGGCCCAATCTCCCGCGAATACTCGTTCAATGCTTCGGATCCATAAAATACTCCAATGAGCTGAAAATAAATATTAAAATATCAATGTGTATGAATCCATCCAAATAATGAATAAGTCGAAAAATATAAACGTGCGAATAAATTTAGTATATAAAAATACACTATTAAATATATAAAATATGCACATTTTTCGACCTAATAATAATTCAGCAAGTGTGATCTAGTTTACAATAAACTATGCAATATATAGACGAAGTTAATTGATGAAGTGCATAAAGATGCAGAAATTGTGGGAACAGTTCGGTCAATCACGGGTCTATCGTATTTTAGTTGCATATCAACTTCTTGCACCTATTTTTACATTTTTCTAATTTTTTTTCTCAATTATCAACTTTTCGTGTAAGCTTCTAGGTTGTCCTATGAGAAATGTTGTACCATAAACATGTGAAGAAGATTTTCAATATCTTGAATCTTCAAATTTTTTAAGAATGGAAATCCACAAAGCAACAAGTTGAAGGATCGTGGGTCGGGCCAAGATCAACAACCAAAGGTCATTATCATTATTTGTTTATTTAACACTAAATGATATATGAAAGTTTATACATATAAAAAGTTATATTTAAAAACTTTTTAAACTATTTATTTAAAGTAATTATTATCTTTTTTATTTTACTCATACAACATTTTTTTTTTAACATTAGTTAATTGCTCTTTATAATATAACCAAACCACTTAAAATTAAAATTCCGTATAGTAGTTCTAATATTATTTTTATCTAACTAATTGGTCATGGTCACTCAAATTTTCCAAAATTACACTATTATAATCAATATAGTGATTTATATGTAGTAAATAGTTTATACGTTTAAATACAATAAAATTTTCATTAACTTTAAAATTATATACACATACAAAATAATATATAAATTTGGAGTTATAAATGTACATATGCACAGAATCGAATACTAGTTCTAATTTAGCACCGCCTTATTTTGATTAATTATTAGTAAACATATGGTCAAATGTTTTAGAAAACATAATGGCCAAGCAGAATTAAAAAGGCTACAAATTTTAGGTAGTGTCAAAGAGTAATACTCCCCTACCCACTACCCACGGTGGACACACGTTAATATGTCCAACGTGTATGTGGCATGCACACAATGGTGATGTTAATATGTTCAAAAAAATACATCATCAATGTATGCATGCCACATAAGCGGTGAACATATTAACATGTGTCCACCGTGAGTAGAGGAGCATTACTTAGCTTCAAAAGAAGTGGCACTCTTTTTCTTTCTTTTTTTTTTTTTTCCTGAAATGAGGACCAATATTTTAACAGAACGAACAAAAAAAAAAGGTTGATGTAATTGAAAATAAAAAATAAATCCCCTGTGCATGAAAATAAATGTGGATTTGGTTGCATGGAAGGAGGTTTTTCAACCTTTAATGATAGTATCAGAACAATAGGTCCACTATTGATATCTACATCAAACTGAAATGCAACTTTCATAGACCAGATCCTTGTGGATAGTTTGTAGTATATCAATTTCAATGGCAGAGCCACAATGAACAGAAGCCACAACATCTATGAAAGTTTGGATCGATAAAGCCAAGTTTGTAAAACTGTGGTCCACCGTCGGACATTATGGCCGAGGGGATTAGTAAGAGACAATTTGATTAAACACTAGACATTATAAGCTTTTACCAATTACTTGCAAGTTGCAAGCTTTTTCAAGAAGGCCCTGCGGAGAGTATCAGCACCGCCACTTGCTCAAGCACCTTCACATCCACGGGCTGTCAAGGTAGCATACTGTAAACACACACTCAGAGAGAAAGCTTGGACTATCTCATCAGTAAATATCAAATGTACATTTTTTTTTTTAAAAAAAAAAGAACCGAGTATTTTGAAAGCCAGAGGAGGAATATCACCAAATGTCGAAACGTACAGAAATCCAATTATTCCACACTGTGAATTTGAAAAAAAAAAAAAAAAAAAAAAAAAACCAAAATGCTTTTGCATTCTATTCAGTGTATGGATGCATTACACAACAAGATGTGTTCCTGACAAAGGCAATAGCTCAAATTTCATCCTTTCCTCCGCCTACCAATTTCACATATTAGCTTAAGAAGATATTTGAATAAAGGATACGATTTCGAAATACATTAGTTAATAATGCAAGTATAATAGTCCGCGTGACCTGCTTGGGTGGCTGAAAAAATAAGGATCAATGAGAAATCTGATCAAATGGTAATGTGCAACATATGCAAGACACATAGAAACTATATGTAATTACATTGTGCATTATATAGAACTTTGGAAAACTGACATGTAATAGGCAAAACAACATTGTGCATTATATATAACTTTCTTTCCAGTAAAAGCAAATGCCTCACGGCCTCTAGAGCGTTCATAGACAAAACAACATAAAAATACATACAAGTGACATTAGTTTTTCAAAAGCAAACATAATACACACACATATGTGTATGTATATATATACAGAGAGAGAGAGAGAGAGGTGTAGGCTATTTACACTAACTAAAAGGATTTGAAAAATGACAACTATTCTTCATTCCTTCCTCTCCGCATTCTTGCAGCCCATGACATATTTTCATCATCAGAATCCTTTTGCATACTTTTTTTCTTGAGTTGCGACAATTGAGTCTGCCAACGGCTCTTCCACTCAGCCTTGTCATCTATGTTCTATTGTGTGCAGGAAAAAAAAAAAAAAAAGAGTAACTCAGGATCAGCAGTCTCTACGTCTGGCAATTAGACATAAAAATTCTCGATATAGCAAAAAAATGTGTTGAAAAGGAGAATAAATTACTATCGCGGTCTGTATGTCCCAACACAGTTTCAGAAAAAAAACAATGGTTAAAGTCCAACCATATGAACACACTTATGCAAATCAAAATATCAAACATAACGTTCATGGTTCGATATTCTGGTGTCCTAGGCGTAGAGGAACAACACCAATTCATCCCTAACAACAAGCACATATCACTTACCCTTTCAAATGACATCCGCAAGGGTTCGAACTTCTTACACTGTGTGTCGATAGTTGTGATTTAGGATTCATATATAGACAACTGAATTGGGCTGTAGCAAAGTCATTAATTTCTATAGACAAATTGCCTTCTCCACATTTACACAAATACAGAAACAGATATTGCTTGAAAAAACAACTAAAAAAGAAGCAAGGGGAAGAATAAAATGAAGTATAAATCTATTCCAACAACTAACTAGATTCATTTGATAGCTCTAAAACACCAAAATTGCACCTTTTATACGAGACTGCATTTGAGAGAAAAACAAACAAACAAGCAGAAAACAGAAGAATTCACTACAAATAAGACATACTAACAGAGAGGGAAAATCGAAATCGAAAAAAAGGGTTAAGCTGCTGCTAACCTCATGAAATTTGCGGGCAGTAAAGGCGAGGTGAACCCCCTTGGCCATGTCTCGATCATACAATTCTCTCGTCTTAGGATCAGACAGCGTCTCGTACGCCTCCTGCACACGAATAAACCTCTGCGTGTACTCCTCGACCCGACCCGGAGGAGACACGTCTGGGTGGTACTTCCTGGCGAGCTGCTTGTACGCCTGCTTGATTTCTGTTGGGGAACCCGTCTGGGGTATGCCGAGCAACTCGTAGAAGCTCATGGCCTGTCGCTCCGAAACGACGTCGTTCACGGAACACCGGAAAACGGGCCACCGTCTTGGCCCGGCCGGGTATGAGACGAAGTGGGGAGAGCTTTCGGGGCGAGTGAGGCGGCGGGCAAAAGTGAAGAGGATTGGGGGATCGCTTCTGGGAATTTGTCCTAGGGCATTGCTGCTGCACATTTCTTCTGACAAGCGTATAATCTGGGTCTTGGGCGTGGTTATGATATAGTTGTTGATGTATAATATTGTTATTTTGACTAAACCCCCTATCCCCTAATTCAGAACGTGTTTAACTTAAGTCGCAGACTCGCATTCTTTGAGATTTTATGTAGCAACATTATATGGGTCGTTGTTCTCAGGCTTGGATAGATTTTAATTTACTTCTAATTCAAAAATAATTAGGTCCGGGTTTATCCGTAAATAAATTGATTATTTATGATCATGTTACATGTATTAAATTTATTTTAATGTCATTTATTATTATAATCATTGAATT